GGTGTTGTTTATATGCCTCTACTTTGCGCAAAAAAATCTGCGAAACAGGAAGTTGAAATGCAGATATAGTTTTGGGTTAGTTTGTAGGACAAGGGAACTGTTTTTTGAATATTGAAACGGCAATTAAAAGGAAATAGTTATTCTTCTCCTACTCTAAATAATGCAATAATCGTTCAAACTATGTGGGCAACATGAAATCATCGTCTGCCAATTTCCTTATCGATTATCTTTATATATTTAAGAACTATAGTGGTCAATTGAATGAATGAAGTGAGTGTGAATGAATTGAATTTTCATTAATGGCTATTTTTCAGGGGGGACAATATATATGATGACCCCTAGTCAGAAACTAGAGGGACATGTGGGATTTTAACTCGTTAAACCCGAAGAGGTTCGAGTCATTTGTAGTCTTAAAGGGATTGTGAAGAGGTTTTCTAGCCTTTTTATGTGTATCGGGGACAATAAGTTGTGATACACTTATGCACTATCATCGATGTCACGCATCCAAACAGGAGCATTCCTCTAGTAGTTCTTTCACTTTCAAGAGCATAGCCTGAAATACTAGTACCTTTTATAAAGTTTAACCCGTGAGCCAGCCAACTTGTCAATTATCGGCTAGCTAAAGGGTTGTATCAGCTGGCTCAATTGCAAATTGCTAAATTGGTTACAAAGGAAGTTATTAACTAAAACACGAATGCTGAATTTCAACATTTTAATCCATATCAAGTAAAATGCGACTACAAAAGAAGAGGTTAAATGCGATTCAAAATTCTAGAATTACAGACAACAATTTTAATTTCCAAATACTTAACAATGTGTTCGTGAGAACTTGCTTTCAACATACATTTCTATGCTTCAAACTAAAATGCACCGAATTGCAAGATTTGGGTGCACAGTATGAAAAGTAACTAAATTAGGTTCCAAGAAATACAATTTTAAAAGAATCAAATCTTAAGCTGAATATATCTGGATCTTTTAATTTAACTTCACTAACTAGTCCAGGAAAGAATTGCAATTCATGGCAATATTTGATGTTGTCACGAATAAAGGAGATCGTGTTCATATTCAGAGCATCGAGTTTGGCATTCTTAATAACCCAAGGGTGAAAAACATACCACTGGCACACTTAATGAAGGAATTGCGAATTTGAAATGTCTTTGTCATATCCGCCAGAGGGGGCTTTTCATACTAAAGTGATACCTAGCGAGCGTCGGTGGAAGTAAAACGTTAATTGCTCGAGACTAATCAAAATCGACTCCAGAACAAAGCTTATCCACGCAGTTGTCGTGCACATCTAGGCCTACCAGTTCTACATCACCTCGCATTAATCAACTCCATTTCCTACTATCAGTCCTAGAATATCATATCATTAGATGCAATTAGATTTATTAAATTTTAGAGAGTGATATATATAAAGGTAGTAAAAGATTAGTCAAACCCAGTGTGTAAATTCTATTGTTACTCCCCCACCCCCTCTCCATAGCCTAACAGATGGACAGAAAGCAAGTATAGAAAGCCACAAAGGTACGCCTACTAGCCAGGGGCCAGGAAATTAATCATGAAATTGTTTTTGATGACTCAATGACATGAAACTGAAATAGGAAATATTAACTAACAAACCATTCTTTATATAATACAAAACCCAATATTGAGGGTTCTTCAATTTTATGTCGAGACAGCGAGTATGGTGATATTAAAGAGGCAGTATGAATGTTAACTATTATTATTAAAGTGAATTTGTTTTAAAATGATTTATTATAAAATGGAGTGTACTAATGGTAAAGTAAGCAGCTTAAACTAGTTTTGGTGTAAGACGTTGTTAAGACTCGATATTTTAAGTTGAAACCTCCAGAATGAGTAAAAGACATATTTCTATAATTTGGCGAAAGACCTTACAGAGATTTTAAAGAGGTTTTCTCTTCTGTGTGTATCGGAGACACTGATAGCATCAGCATTCCACAAAAATAAGTGTAAGATGACGTTACTAATCGCAAAAATTATGCTTGTATAACCTAAGGCATGATAACCCTTCTCGATTAGTGACGTCATCAAACACATCATCCACAGTTTTAAAGTCTGATTAGAAAATAAAATGGTGCAAATTGATTCTATCAGTGTTCCCGATACACATAATTTTTTTTCAAGAAACCTCTTTACTATCCCTGTATGAAGTTAACGTTAACCTTTTAATTGGTTTTTGGGGTTCAAATATTAACGGCAGGATCTTTTTTAGTTAAATTTTCGGATTCGGATTAGTTAAGGGACTCATTATTTGTGATATATAGATTTCATTTATTTGATCACCGAATATTTTCACTCTTCTTAAAAAGATAAGCTCGCGAAGCAAAGTGACATACACCCACCAGCAGCTTTGATTGCAAGCACAAATCATTGTTTGTAGCCTGTACAGTGAGCATAAGCCAATTGTGAACAGACGGATGAAAATGTGCTTCCATACTATGTTTGGGTATATAAAATCAAAAGAATCTCTAAAGAATTTTACCCTGTAGAGTGAGAACGAGCCAAATGTGAACGGACCGACGGACAAATTATCAGATCATCACGAAAATTGATAGGGATTATTTTTTAATGACATTGACCTACAAAATAAAAGTCAAAAGTATCTGTAAAGAATTATATACTGTAGAGTGATAACTCTACAGGATAACAAGATAATCAGACTGCCCCTTTAATAGTAAAAGATGGTATAAGTAACCATCATGTGACATAAACCAGTAAATATTTCCTTGTCGTAGGTTTGCAACATATTACATGTCAATGTTTCATACATCCTCTTGAGTATTATACATGTTTTGTATCTTGGTTGGTATCAAATCGTGTCAAGTGTCTAGCTGAGTTTCAAACTGGGCCAAGTGACTTTCTGAGAATAAAACTGCGTAAAGTGATTTGCTGAGTATCAAACTGTGTCAAGTGACTTTTTAGGTATAAAACTGTGTCAAGTTACTTGCTGAGAATCAAACTGTGTCAAGACAGTGACTTGCTGAGAATCAAACTGCGTAAAGTGACCGGCTGAGAATCAAACTGTGTCAAGTGACTTGCTGAGGATCAAACTGTGTAAAGTGACCTGCAAAGAATCAAACTGTGTCAAGTGACTTTCTGAGGATCAAACTGTGTCAAGTGACATGGTGAGAATCAAAAAATTGTCAAGTGATTTGATAGGTACTTTGCAAGTGACAAACTGAATTATAAGTAGCTGGATTTTGAACGATGTCAAGTATTTTTTAAGTGATTATTTAGTTGTGTCAAATGAGTGAATGGATATATTGACTGTTTCAAGAGGCTCACTGAGTACTAAACAATACCACGTGTCTTACTTTAAACTTTAAGAAAAAGTCTTGTTATATTTATTACTATTTTTAAAATGGCTCAGTCTGTGTTAAGATTTCTATATTTGATGTTGTCGATTTTTGCCATTTTATGTCAAATTCCAGATATATGTAGATTATGTATGTGTAAAGATGATATTGTTAATTGTACAGATTCAAATTTAACATATATTCCACAGCTTCCTACTTATACCCGGCAACTTATCTACTCAAAAAATCATCTCCCCTAAATTGACAACAAAACGTTTGAAAACATCACAGATTTAGATATATTCAAAATTGAATTAAATTATGACAATATCACACAAATAGAGCCAAATTCTTTCCGAAATTTACAATCGGTTACCAATTTATCTCTTTCTGGTAATGAGTTAAATAGAGAATCATTATTCAGTTTAGTAAATGAATTTCAAGTTAAGTTTGAAATCTCTTCGTCACCTTTACTGAAACTGGTTCTGAACAACATCAATTTAACTTCTATTCCACAAGGTTTGTTTCTCAGTTTGCATGATGTAAAGTTAGATACCCTAGATCTTTCGCAAAATCATTTTGACTGAAGTTAATTTCACAGAATTCATACCTTTGCAAAAATTACTTGCTTTATATATAGATCACAATGAGATTTCGACAATTGTATTTGATGAGACCAACAATTTTAATATTGTATTATTATCATTGCAAAGAAATTCATTTCAGATTCTACCCAATTTCTGCAGTAATTCCCCAAATACTCAAAATCTGAAATTGTTATCTTTTGAAAATAATGCAATTTACAAATTTATCCCAGGAAGATTAAACTGCTTAAAACAATTAAAGACTTTAAACTTAAACCTTAATTGCATTAATTTGATCCAAACTAACCATTTCCAACATTTTCCGTCTTTACAGAGTATCCATCTAACAAGACAATGTGGCACTAAACAACGTATGGTCATTCGGGAATATGCTTTTAATAATTCAAATCTGAACTTTATTGATTTATTTGAAAATCGTTTGTCTTCAGGAAATATACACGAATCGGCATTCAGTGGATGTACAAACTTGAGGACTTTAAATCTTGCATGTAATGATTTAAGGGATTATAAACGGCAGAGATTTAACAAGTTGAATAAGATATTAGTTAACTTAGTTTCGTTAGAATATTTAGATTTGACTGAAATAAAACTAAACTATATACCCGAATCCATTCACAATTTAACGAGATTGAAAGCGTTGGACTTATACAGAAATTTAATCACATTCTGGCCCGATGGTTTCTTTGAGAAGAATAAAATGTTAATTCACTTAAAACTTGGTCGTAACCAGATAACACACATCAGACCTGGTATGCTACCACTAACTCTCAGACGAAGATTGCAGTATATAGATTTATATAAAAATCCTCTTCAATGTAGTTGTGATAATTTGTGGTTCGTTAATTGGATGAGAGAGAATTCAAAATTATTTTACGATTTTCCTGTTGGTTACCGTTGTTTAAACATGACAGCAAATGTTTGTTTAAAAGATAGTCCATTTTATACTTCAATAACAGGCGTGAGTTGTATTATACTTGTAATAGTTATTATAACATCAATTATTTATAAATATAGATGGTTTATTAAATATCAAATTTATATATTTCGTCATAAACCAAAACTCTTGAACAATATTGCGGAACAATTATTCATCTATGATGTATTTGTTTCTTATAGTGGCGAGGATAGTGATTGGGTTCTGGACAAATTGGTACCAAATTTAGAACAAGATTCCAATCTAAAACTCTGTATACATGAAAGAGATTTCCAGGCTGGCAGATTGATTATTGATAATATTGTTGAATCGATTGAAAATAGTCGTCGTGTTTTAATTATATTAAGTAATAATTTTGCTCGAAGTGAATGGTGTCAATTTGAAATGACATTAGCTCAGAAACACGTTTTAAATCGAGCTACAGAACCTTTAATTGTTGTTTTATTAGAAGATATAGACAGTGAAAATATGAGCAATGCACTTCATGCTTTATTAAAGACCACTTCATATATAACTTGGTTCGATGATATACAACAGATTCAATTATTTTGGGATCGACTGAAACGTTCTCTTACTAATATATAGATCATTATTCACGGATTATTTTTGCTTTGTTTTTTAATGACCAATGGTTCAATTTGATCTAAATATTATTGAAAAAATCATTTCTGTTCAAAAAGTGATTTAATATGTATTTCTTGGCAGTGAGGGTCTCTTTATAGAAAATAGAGTAAAATCTGAGCCAGTTCCTGCTTTTTCCCCATGCATGGATGTAATATATCTTTTTATATATTTTTTATAATTTTAGTTTAGTGTAATAATTCTGGGTAAATATATATATTAGATATATAATAATCTATATGTTCAACAGAGTATTTTTTGGTTGAGTTAATTTTTAATAATGGCTATGCTGTGTTGTTTTTCATATTTTTATTAACTTGTGTATAATTTGTATGAAATTATTTTCTTTTAGAAAGATAACAGATAAGTTTCCAATGGTTTTCATTTATTAATATTTTTGTAAATACTAGAACAGTGGCTCAGGTCGATCGTGCTACTGATAGAATTTCAGAGCAACTGGTTTTTAACGGCAGGTAGCAACTGATGGCATGGAAGAGAATCTGATCATTCCCTTTATTTTTCTTACCTCATGTCGACTGGTAAATTATCAATGGATCAAACGAAAGGAAGGGAGGCGCGTAACTATCTGCTGACCTAATTACCTCCCCTTTCTAGCAGGAAGCAGATTATTACTAATATTGAAATAATTGTTTGCGCTTTTACCCGCATTCTAATCAGGGCGGCTGTGATCGTTTCGGATTTTTTTTTGTCTGTTTTAAATTAAATTAAATTTAAAAAACAACATTAAATTGTTATTAATAATGAATATCTATATGTAAGTACTAATTTGGGGGGTGAACCCGCCTATAACTAATAGTCATGCAAAAATTACCTGATAATTTCTGAATGGCTTACGACTAATAATTGGTTCTAGATATTAAGTCCTCAACAGTTGGAATTTCAAAAATAAAATACGGTTTAATAAATCGGATGAACTAAAACAGAAATATAGCTTTGTCACACGGAACTGAATGGGTGGATTGCATGATTGAGAACATTTGGGATCGTACAGCCACTGGAAATAGGTCGCGGTCAAACGTGGGGACAACTAGAGAAAAATTATAAACTTAAAAACAGTCGACTTCATACCGCGCGTGATGCGACGATATTGCGTTCTAACGTATTTGCAGCGTCTTTGTTACTCGTGTACTTATACCAAGCAAAGAGATGTTACGCTTGTGTGACGACCTTCTCGATCCCATGGCGTTCTTAACGCGTTCCAGAAATGGTGACAATTTTCACACGATATCACTTGTGTCCTATACGTTTATTCCACGCTTATGGTAAACTAAACCGCTTTTCCGATGTGCAATAAAGCAGATATCCTGATACAGTTGAAAATACCGATGATTTTGACTGTCTTTCCAAGTATATAATATTTCTGAGTATACTAGGAATTGTATTTATTGCAACACACAAATGCTTTCACTCCTAGCACACATGTACACGTATTATTGCACAGGCTTCATCATACACACAGCGCATCTTCCCACACGTTTTAATTGGTCCACTCCTTTTAATGTTTCTTGGTGAGGGTTAAGTCGTTCCTCAACTGAAGCAGCCACCAGCCAGAATGCAAACTTATCAGAGAAAAAATGACATTGACCTCTGCTGGTACACTCTATAAATGGTCGAGTTGAGAAATGTTCGAGACAACTTCCAGGACTTTGAAGATTCTGACCACCGGAAACTGTACCGATTGCATGCTGGAATGAGAAATAACTTTCTTTTAAAGTCACGTAAAACTGATAATGTTTACTTATACGCTCATATGCAAAAGAGGACGTACATTGCCATCTTTCTTGTTCGTTCGTTCTACACCATTTCTGATACATGGCCTAGTCATCTGTCATAGTTAAAAGTCGTAAAATAAGTCGAAATAGGTGTATACGTACTTACCATTACAAAACTGTAGCCTGCCCACTTTGGTGTCCACCCATCTGGACATGAAGGTACGCGAGTTGTCATGCTATGGACTGCAATCATTGGTGTGGGTGACTGGCACACAGCACAACGACTCACATACCGATACATCGGCATTCGGCTAACAGGCATCATTGGCATCTGCGATTCCGTGGATAGCCAATAGCTTGTAGCCGTTCGACTTGCATAGTAGCAAACGTTGTAAATGTTGCAGAAAAGTGTAGGCATAGGTGCGAAATGAGGAAGACACGATCCCGATTGTCCTGCAAAATATAAGCTACTTCAAGAGGATGGACAGAAATGAATTGAATAGAGTTTTAAGTCGTACTCTTCTGCACCTAATTGGGCTGATGGAGACGGGTAACGCCACGCAGTGTCGAATGGTGGTAATTTACTTTAAAGGCATCTTTAAAGTGCACTGTTTGTAATACACGGGGGCTATTGGACAGAAGGAATACAATCACAAAGCTTTTTACTGCCAATGATGTTCATCTTAACGTAAGAGTGTACAAATGCCAAATGAAAAAACAAATTCACCATATAAGCTCCTAAAGTATAGAAGACATTTGACTCAGAAAAGTGTAGAGATAAGTATGTCCTAAAATTAAAAAAAAAACCTTTATGATCAAGCTTAAGCAATCCCTTAGATAGCAATGCTACTTTGGATATAGGCAAAATTGATAAGGAGGCAACTTCCAAACTTCAATGTATTTTAATACTACGTCTGTCCGCAAAAAGTGTGTATTTTACTTCACTAACGCTAAAAGGCAAAAACTTCAGAAAGAAACAAAGCTATGCCGCTGAATAATTTCATTATTCAAACCCTATGCTTATTGCTGTAAAAGGTTAGCTAATTTTTAGTTTCTTACCAAGGTCTTGTGAATAAGCCCTTCCATCATCTTCGGTATGTAGTAAACTGTAACCTTTCCATAAAATAGCATGTCTGTTATAACATCCGGTTTCCTTTGAAGTTTGGCTGTGACGTACATAAACATAAGCTGATGGTCCAGGTATACCTACAAGGATATTGGTCGGAGAAAAATATACACATTCATAAATGCGTTAGCCAAAATATTACTTTCAAGAAACGAGTAGCCAAATCGGGGGGGGGGGGGGGGGGCTTTCTGCTGATACTCCTGGTGGTCCGGGTTCTCCTTGGATTCCTAGGGGCAAAATGAAAGAAATAAAATCAACAATTAACTCGAAAGTTTCGGTAATTGATGTGTCAATCAATTAGTTTCCAATATCATATAATCTTAGGCATCAACAACACTTATTACTTACCCATCGGTCCAGTGTCTCCTGGTTCACCATACCCAACTTCTCCTCTATCACCTTTTGGACCTTGTTCTCCTGATTCTCCTGGTGGTCCTTGGGGACCTCTTTCTCCTGATTCTCCAGGGGGTCCTGGATCTCCGGTGGCTCCTATGGGACCAGAAAAAAAAATATAATCAGCAAAAAACTCGAAACCTTTTTTAAATTATGTATCAATCTTTCGACCGGTGGACCTCTCTCTCCATAACCTGTTGGTCCTCTCTCTCCATAACCTGGTGGTACTTGAGGACCGCCTTCTCCTTCTTTTCCTGGTGGTCCGGGATCTCCTGGGGCCAGAAAGAAGATAAGGTCAACAGAAAAACCCCGAATCGGTTTTTATTTCTCTTACAATCATTCAGTTTTTAATATATTGTAATCTTTGGCGAGCCTCAGTGTGATTATTGCGGAAGTCAGGTGTCATATCGACATTATTAGTATTACAATATACATCGCTGAATAATTTTCCTCGCTTTCGCGCCTTTTTCCTCTCTTTCTCGACTTCTCGCCTTTTTTTGCCCTCGCTTTCTCGCCTCTTTCCTCGCCTTTTTTTACCCTCGCTTTCTCGCCCTTTTCCTCGCCTTTTTCCTCGCCTTTTTTCTCGCCTTTTTTCCTCGCCTTTTTTCTCGCTTTTTATACGCCCACATGAATATGTGGTCGTATATTGTCGTTGCCCCTGTCCGTCGGTCCGTCGGTCCGTCCGTCAACATTTCTTGTGAGCACTATAGAGACTACAGTTTTTATCTGATTTTGATAAAATTTGATCTCGGTCAAGTTCAAATTTGACATATTTTCGATGAACGGTTTTTGAGATATTGGCCTTGACTTAGAACGCCTTGAAATTTGTTAAAAATTGTTCGTGAGCAAGATTGAAGCTACAATTTTCATCTGATTCTGATGAAACTTGGTGTGATCATTGGAATTCATAAGATCTCGGACAAATTCTAACTTGACGCATTTTCGATGAACGGTTTTTGAGTTATTGCCCTTGACTTTGTTAAAACGCTTCGAAATTTGTTAGAAAAAGTACGTGAGCAGGATTGAAGCTACAGTTCTCAACCGATTCTGATGAAACTTGGTGTGATCATTGGAATTGATAAGATCTCGGACAAATTCTAACTTGACGCATTTTCGATGAATGGTTTTTGAGTTATTGCCCTTGACTTTGTTAAAACGCGTCGAAATTTGTTAAAAATAGTTCGTGAGCAGGATTGAAGCTACAGTTTTCAACCGATTCTGATGAAACTTGGTGTGATCATTGGAATTGATAAGATCTCGGACAAGTTCTAACTTGAAGCATTTTCGATGAATGGTTTTTGAGTTATTGCCCTTGACTTTGTTAAAACGTGTCAAAGTTTGTTCGTGAGCAGAACAGAAGCTACAGTTTTCAACTAATTCTGATGAAACTTGGTGTAATCATTGAAATTGATAAGATCTCGGACAAGTTTTAACTTGACGCAATTTCGCTGAACGGTTTTTGAGTTACTACCCTTGACTTTGTAAAAACGCGTCAAAATGTGTTTGTGAGCACTATAGAAGCTACAGTTTTCGACCAAATTTGATCAAACTTTTTATGATCATTGGAATTGATAAGATCTCGGACAAGTTCTAACTTAAGGCATTTTCAATGAACTCTTTCGGAGTTATTGCCCTTGACTTTGTAAAACGCTTCAAAATTTGTTTGTGAGCACAATAGAAGCCACAGTTTTCAACCGATTTTGATGAAACTTGGTGTGATCAATGGAATTGATAAGATCTCGGACAAGTTCTAACTTGAGATATTTTTGATGAGCTTTTTATGAGTTATTGCCCTTGACTTTGTAGACACGTGTCAAAAGTTGTTTTTTGCCATTGATTAGAGCTGTGTGATTTAATTGTTAGTTGTATTTGGGTTATTGATATTAATTTTAAAAAATTTTGTGGAATTACTCAGCATAAATAACTGGCATATATATATGTAATTGAATTCAAACTAATAAAATTTCTTCAATATGAGAAAATTCATACTTTAGTCACTAAAGACTATTTTATCATTTCTGACATCTGCCAGTGGGCGTATGTTACTTTGCCTAGCAAGCTATCTTTTCCTCGCTTTCTCGCCTTTCTCGCTTTCTCGCCTTTTTCCTCGCTTTCTCGCCTTCTCGCCTTCTCGCCTTTTTCCTCGCTTTCTCGCCTTCTCGCTTTCTCGCCTTTTTCCTTGCCTTTTTCCTCTCTTTCTGGCCTTTTTCCTAGATATCTATGTATCTACTGGATCAAACTGAATTTGATTTTAATACGTTTTATCATGTAAATGGATAATTAATTAATTAGTTTGACCTAGTTTTGATGTTTGTCTTTTTAATGGCTCAATAATTTTAGTTGGAACCTTCAGAAAAATTAGGCGACATATATTTCTCTAAAATAATGCGTTTAATTTGCTTAAATCCGTACAGTAGTTTTCTTGCAATTAACAAAAACAATACAAACTTACAAAGTAATGTGTAGCCTAGGCCTACGTCATAAGCTTATAGAATAGTTTTGGCGTTTAACGGCTGGATTTCTTAAGTTAAAACTTTCATATATCATTTTTCAGGGACACATTTTTCTAGATTTTGGTATATCACAAATTTGAGCAAAAAAAAATTCTTTTACCTACAAAAAATATTTGTACACATATATCTTGTTACAAAGAACATATAAAAGAAAACCGAGTTTAATTGGTCCATATATAAGCCCTACAGACTGCCAAAAACAGTTTTTTTTTAAATGTGCCCCGGTCCGCTTTTTCAAAAGTTGTTATGTTTGATAGGCTATTTTTAATAGAAGAATAGTGAAGATATTCGATAACACTATAAATATTCTTTCCTCCCAAATTACACACCAAGATATCCAAGATATAAGTCCTGAAGCTACCAGTTTAGGCCTGGTGTTAGGTTAGTTTTGATTACGTTTTCGTATGACCTGATTACGTCGCTAATTTTGTGGGTACGTTTTTTTTTGGAAAAGAAACAGCATGGCTGTCGGAATATTATTTTTGATGTAAATTTGGACTTTGCTTGGACGTGTTTGTGTCAGGTTTGGTACCAAACACTTGGAAACCTACTATTACTACTATTACTACTACTATTACTACTATTACTACTTATTGGAACTGTTTGGAACTATTATTAGAATTTGTCTATGTGATGGCTGTCACGACAATATAGATTCATGCTGTATGGTGTATTTTAAATATTATTTTGGATGAAAATTATTTGTTCTAATCTACTGACTCTTTATTCCCGAATCCTGTTCGGAGGATTGATGGACCCCCAAAAAGTACTGTACAATCTGTACAATGTCATTAGTACCAAATCACAACCTATACTCCCTAAGATTTACAATTGGTTGAAAACTAAATTCCAGATCTTGTTTAACATGGAATAAGACGTCAGTTGATAGGCATATTCATCATTTCATTATAAATGAATACTTATTTCATTGATAAATCGAATCCAGGGACCAAAGTTATATTACAAAATAGAAAAGGAGACGCATTTGTTTGTTGCCCATTCCATTTCGTAAACATATATATACAATTTTTATTCTTTAATACAAAAAATCGACTTATTGCTAGATTCTCATTCGATTACCAATAATGTGAACGGACCGACCGACAAGGGTACCGATTTTAAATACAAAATGCAAAATACCGTATGCATGGAACAACAGCAAAACTATTTTGAAGGAATGTGTTACTTCTGATAAACATTCTTTCAAAATAAATTTCGTATGTTTTTTTCTAAATTTTCATTAATTCAATTAAATCAATAATTTGAAAAATAAATGTGCACTGATAAAGATGAATGAAAAAAGGCGAGAAAGCGAGGAAAAGGGCGAGAAAGCGAGGAAAAAGGCGAGAAAGCGAGGGTAAAAAAAGGCGCCTTTTTCCTCGTGGGCGAGAAGTCGAGGGTAATATGGCCGCAGTCGGCTTCCATAGTAACTTCAGTAATTGGCAACATATTCTTAGAGATCTTGTCTAAATGACTTGAATGTTGAATTGGTATACTTCGGATTTTATCAGACCTTTCAAGGCAAACTTTAAGGGTAGATCGTATGATAGTGATGTTACTCCCAGAAACCTTTTTACTAATTCTTTGTCTTGTAGGGAACATGCTGATTTTATTTCTAGAGAATTGTGTAATGAATAGAATGTGATCTTCCGAAGGTCAGTATGCCTTGGACGGTAGAGCCTTCGAAGCCTCAGCTAAGTCATGACGAAAGGTACATCAATATGTGGATTAAGGATTCTTCGTTTCATCTTGAAACTTTAAAAGATGTCCGTAGAATAGTTAGCTCTAGAGTTTATATGATTAACCCGTGACGAAAAATCTGGTTATGACCACGTTAAATTAAGTTTAGCTTCTCAAACCTATTTTGGTATTCAGTTTGGGGGATTCGTTTTGACATGTACAATCCTTCCTTTTCGGTTGGAAGGCATCGCCGTTTTTCAATTCACTCTATATCGATGATATATATAGAATAGCTTATGTTTTTTTGGAAATGTTATGGTTATTGTTTGTCTTTGAACAACAACAGTTGATACGCTACAAAGTGTGAAATATCTAGGTTTCTATGTGGATTCAGTTATTCAATCATATGTGGTCCCTGTTGACAAGAAGGTAAAGTTTATCCAATTACGAGATAATATCTTAAGTTCTGATAAGGTTGATTTAAAAAGTCTTCAAGGCTCTTCAAGGTTATTTCTATGTCTTTGGCGACCCCGGGATGTAAATTATTTTGTAGAGAGATGAATAGGTCGATTGCTCAATGTATTTAGAATTCAAAGTTGATTGAATTTCATAAACGAGTTGAATTGTCGAAGTACAGTGCTGTCGTTGATATGGGTGAAGAAATAGTAGAGTTATCTGATTATTGGCGAACTCATTACATTTGTTATTAAAAAATGTGAAGATGACGTTATTTGTCCGATAAGGGGTTTAGGACATTTCTTAAATGTTGCAAAAAAGGTATTCTATTAATCTATCAAAAGGGTATATATTTAGGACAGTGTCTGAGGCTGGGTGTGTTTTAGATAAACCGATGAATTTATCTGTAGTATATGAAAGATTAAGACTGTATTTATCAATTTTGGGCCTTGATGAGGGTGAGACTCCTAATAGCTTCTGGCTGTGCGGTTACCATGGTTTTGTCTGCGTCTGTAAACAGTTCAGAGCAGATGATGAACATATTGGGTGGTTTGGACCTTCTAGTGTTAAGTGTTATAGTAGACTTAATACATTGATTCGAGCACAAGTTGCGTCCAAATAAGCAGACTCGGCTAGTCGGTCCGAAGGTATTGAAAAATAATATTTGAATAATGTCGATTTTTTTAGCCTTGATAAGGGCGTTTGATTATGAGTAATTGTAAGTTTTTTGTCTGAATGTGAATGACAATAAATGTATTTTGAACATTGTTTATTATTTGACACCCTCCCACCCTCCTAGTGGAATACAATATAACGTGCAAATATTCTCTTGTAGTAAGTCACCCATTGCAGGGTTGCCGCCCATAACTTAATCGACTGCATGCTGGAGATTATAAACTCACTGAGGATTGGTGTAGAGCCTTATTCTGATTATAGCGCAAGCGGAAGTCAGGTGTCATATCGGCATTATTTCAATATATAGCGTTGAGGCTTGGGTGCTGAATTGTTACTTAATAGTCAAACCTATCCCTATAATCTGCGGCCTAAATCTCCTGTTCATGTAAACACCACCCCCCCCCCCCCCCCGGG